CGCCTTATAAAGGAAACCGGAATTAGAAATCCATCTGTTAGCAAAACTATCGCAGAATAGGATGATAGTATCATTCATTTTCAATCCAGGAGATTGGATCGATGGGCAGAACACTTTAGGGACCAGTTCAATCGGCCTTCAGTCACACTCCCGTTGCCCTAGATCTCCAGGCATCGTCAATGGCAAATCGGTATAAGTCCTCCTAGTCTTTATGAAGTTGATAAAGCTGTAGGAAATCTAAAGCGAGGTAGAGCAGCAAGTCCTGAAAGATTAACTCCTTAAATTTTTAAGGATGGTGGTCCAGCTCTAGCAGCTTCATTGACTGAGATCTTTGGTAGAATCTGGGAACTGGACGTAATCCTATCTGACTGGTCTCAATCGCTAATTGTCCCAATCTACATGAAAGGACAAAAGTCTTCTTGTGACAATCACAGGGGTACTAGTTAAATTAACATAGTTTCTAAATTGCTAGCCTCGATAATACGTAGACGCCTAACTATAGCTCATGAAGAGCAGACTAGAAAAAACCAGTCTGGTTTTCGACCTGGACGTGGCTATATGGACCACATTTTCACTCTACGACAGGTCCTGGAACACAGACACACATTTAGGCGTCCTACAATAGTTGTCTTCCTGGACCTAAAAGCGGCATTTGACTCAGTGGATCGTGAGGTTCTGTGGCAGTGTCTGTCATTGAAAGGTGTACCAATGAAGTACACAAATCTTATACAAGCTCTGCACACGAAAACCACGAAAGCAACCGATTGTTAGAGACCTTGAACGACATGGCTCAGAATCGTTCGCAATGGCGCAGGTGCATCCACTCTTTGTGTTCTCTCAAATCCTAATCTTCTGGATTCGTCAACACCTCTAACTTATCTCACTGAATTATACTTCTTGAATATTATCTTCAAATCCTAATCCTATCCATTAGCAGTAATTCTTCTACTATCTCTACCACTATTAGGATTTGAATTGAAAAATGCGTCTCTGTGCTAATGTGATATGGCAACATGAACTGATATACTTACGTACTAAGTTCTACGTTGTAACTGACTGACTGTTCATTCAATATGTGATCCATTTCAACCTACATATATGTTTTCAACGATTAAACGATTCAACTGGATAGAGGAAAACGTACAAGATTTTGAAAACCAAATACTAAATGAATGATCTTACAGTTCATGCGTATTTATTAAGTGAAACTGGCGATTAATTAAGAGTAATGAGTATGCCTTGTAGATTACAGTTGAAGATAATTACAGTGTATTTGAAAATAAAAACGAATCACAACTTGTAATGGTTCAAGTGAGCTTTATTTTTCTCTCCATGTTTTATTCATTACTATGTATATAAATTGTAAGGATAAACATGTGAGTATGAGTTAAACTTTAGAAAAAAAATCTTTTTGAGATTTATGCACAATTTCCTTAAAAACACAGTCTATTTTCCTGGCACAACAAAACTCTTTAGCTTGAATTATACGACATGAAATCAATAAAATATAATATATCTGGAGTATTATTTAAATCATTCGGCCTTCTGAATAATGTACAAAAAAATTATGAATATTCAAATTAAATGGAAAATAAGCACTACTTCGTTCCATTTGAGCTAATAAATTATCCCAATCTTATCAGTATTTAGCATACATACTATTTTGAAATGATAACATAAGAAGTATATCTGTTAAGTTTCATAAAATGGAGATATCACCACAGTCCATCGAAACGATACCCTCAGGATCGAGATTCAAACACAAAGATCAAAGGAAAACTGATTGACTAGGCGAATTATACATTATCTTCAAAGCCAAATAGATCATATACTTTCTCAAAGGCTTCTAGTGTACAACCTCCTATGTATTCTTAGTCATAATTTTCATAATTCGTTGACCAATAAAAACTTATCAGCAAACTCTGTGGTTTCCCCCACCCCCCGAAATGCAAAATGTTGCTTCAAGACTGGGTTGCATCGGCACCGAAACTAGTGATAGGGAGTGAAGTGGTCGAACGTGTAGACCGATTCACTTATCTCGGGAGTCTCATCAGTGCCGATGGCCTGGTGACTGACGAAATCTCAGCTCAGATACAGAAAGCTCCATTGGTTTTTGCCAACCCGCGTCACTTATGGCATAGGCGAGATATCCGTTTGCTGACTAAAGGACGAGTGTACTGCTCAGTAGTTCGCTCCGTCTTACTTTATGGCTGTGAAACATGGCCAATGAGAGTAGAAGATATTCGTAGGTTACTAGTATTCGATCATAGGTGTCTTCGAAGCATTGCTCGTATATCGTGGGACAACCGAGTGAGCGACGCTGTTACGAATCGGGTGCTAGGTAAGAATGTCAGATCAATAGATGAAGTAATGAAACTTCATCAGTTGAGGTGGTTGGGACACGTGTTGCGTATGCCCAACCACCGACTACCTCCACGAGCCTTGTTTTGTAGTGTAGGAATAGGTTTGAAGAAAGTTAGGGGCGGCCAAACCAAAACATGTCAGAAATCCATGAAATCGTTGAAGAGTGGACTTAGCCATGTCGGTAATTGTCGACTACGTGGTTGGGGTCCGCGAGATGATAATAATCGATGGTTAGAGACCTTGGATGACATGGCTCAAAATCGTTCGGAATGGCACCGGTGCATTTATTCTTTGTGTTCTCTCAAATCCTAATCTTCTGGATTCTTCAACACCTCTAGTTTTGACTTTCTAAACTTTTCTCATTGAATCATACTTGTTGAATAATATCTTCTAATCCTAACCTCTCTGATTACTTCTAATACCTTTACTACCTCTTCTACTATTGGATTTGAATTGACAATTATATCTCTGTGTTGATGTGGTATGGCGACATGAACTGATGTACTTACGTACGAAGTTCTACGTTGCATCTGACTGACTGTTTATCAACAAACTCTGTTAACTAATTTTGGTAAAAAAAAATCAATATTTAAAGTTTCGTATATCATATTCAAGTTTAAAATACAAAAGACTTAACAACTAATAAATATCATGTTACTGAATTCCTCTCATTATTATTAATATTATTCTCATATTTAATACTTGAAGAATACATTCCAAGCATTAGAAATTCCTGAAAAAAAATATTTGAAATACCCTTTTCTCTTAATAATCGAACAACTAAGAAAAAAATAAATAAATACCACTACATGTCTAACTAAATTTATCTTTATTTATTAACGTAATAATGGTTGGTAGTAAGGAGAATGAAGTTAGTTATATGAAAGTTATTTTAAAAACAACATCAATTTTAAAACAGATACAATTTTTTTCTAAAAAAATTTAGAAAGTTAAAAATCTCATTCTGTATGGGGGATTTTTAACTAACAACTACAAAAACTAACCAAAGAAAAAGTAAATTTTACGTGACTTTTTTTCACATATTATTTCTATTAAGAATTAAGAATTAAATTTTTTTAAAAACAATAATATTCTATAACCAACATAAAATATAAATGACAAGTTAAAAATATAATAGTTACAGTAGGGAGGATTATTAAGCAGGTTTTCATGCATGATCATCCTTTATATATATATAAAATCATTTAACTACTGAATTATAATTTAAGTAGTTTGATAATATTTATTGAAAAAAGAAAACAATGATTTTGCATCCATCCAACATCAAATGCATTGATTGGTTGAATTAAAAAAAAATGAAATGAATCCAAACAGACAAACAAACTGAAAGAGTTTTTTTATATTTCATAGGGAAACAAACTGAAATTCACTGAATTTATGGAAAGCTTCAATAATATGAATGATCATGAAATCAAATCAAATTTAAGAAAAAACCCTTTCTTTATTATTTTTATTATATATGAATGAGTGACTAGAAAGATGATTAATTTAATCCGTGTGACAGGTTTTGGTAATGACAATTTAATTGTTAGATTTAATAGAAAGTTAAATTGAACATTACACATGTGTAAATAAGACTATATATATAATATCTACTTAAATATGTATTGAGTGTATGTGTAGTTATACATAATTATTGTTATAACAATAATTTTTCATTTAATCTACTACTAATTCAAAATTCAATTCATCCTTATTAGCATTTTGCACATTGGAAATTGAACATTTAACCAAAATAGCAACACTCTTTTTAGGTGCTTCAAATTCTACCGCAACTAATGGTCCAAGATAACCTGCTTGTCCAAGATATGGATAATAAGCACTGCTGAATACTCCACTAAAAAGAATGGAAGGAAAAAAAAACTAACAATTAAAACGTATATAAATAAAAATGGATTAAGAGAAAACGTAGGAATTTTTTTGTTTGTTTTGATCACAGAGTGGTATGAGCTACTTGCAAGTAGTATATGACGTCAGCGTCAACGTAATGTCTGGCAGAAGAAGATGGGGGAACATCAAGAAAGGAAGAAGAGTGGGAACACAATGGAATTTGTATGAAACGCATGAATAGTGGTGACAATGGATTGATGTTGTTTGCAACAGGAACAGTCCAGTTCGATACGATGAATTGATATTTTGCAAATTAACCATTTACGATATGGTTTACCAATTTTACTGAGTAACTCTGTAATTTCGCTAAATACAGTTCGGTTGCCCCACCTGTGTTCTCTTTCACTACAACAGGATTTAATCTAAAAACCAATCAATAAATAGGCTAAATATCATGATAAGTAATATGAGTGTGTGTGTGGAGGGGGTTAGAAAATTGTTTTTTAATTTTCCTTCGAAATTGATTATTCGATAATTTTTCTAGTTTAATTATAAAAAAATGCCATGGTGATTGTAAACCTATTGATTGGTTCAAGTAAGTAAGTATGTAAGTAAGTAAGTAAGTAAGTAAGCCAGTAGAGAATTCAGTTGATCGTTCACCTTTTTTTCTCTCGCCTATTTTATTATTCATTAGGCGAGAATTTTTTTAATTTTGTTAGATCAAGTAAAGTTTAGTAGGTAACTTTTTCTTTTCTCCTCTCTGCTAGTGTTGTGTAAACAGAATGAAAACGGATTCTCACATTATAGCGGATTGAAAGGTTTCAATTAGAAAGTAGTAACAAAATAACGCAAATATTGATTATTTGTGTAATTTAATTTGACTAACTGTTTTTCGACATAAGTCAGTCAGTCAGTCAGTCAGTTGCAACGTAGAACTTCGTACGTAAGTACAACAGTTCATGTTGCCCTACCACATTAGCACAGAGATATAATTGTCAATTCAAATCCAATAGTAGAAGAGGTAGTAAAGGTATTAGAAGTAATCTAAGAGGTTAGGATTAGAAGATATTATTCAAGAAGTATGATTCAATGAGAAAAGTTTAGAGAGTCAAAACTAGAGGTGTTGAATAATCCAGAAGATTAGGATTTGAGAGAACACATTGAATAAATGCACTGGCGCCATTGCGAACGATTTTGAGCCATGTCATTCAAGGTCTCTAACCATCGATTATTATCATCTAGCGGATTCCAACCCGGTAGTCGACAATTACCGATATGGCTAAGTCCACTCGTCAATGATTTCATGGATTTCTGCCATGTTTTGGTCTGGCCGCCCTTAACCTTCTTCCCACCTATTCCTACACTACAAAACAAGGCTCGTCGAGGCAGTCGGTGGTTGGGCATACGCAACACATGTTCCAACCACCTCAACTGATGAAGTTTCACCACTTCATCTGCCATTCTTACCTAGCACCCGATACCAAATAACAGTAGTACATTACACCTGAATCGTCGTATACAATCAAAGTTTTTAGCTATTTTTGATGTTTAACAATTGACTAGTGAGTAAGTAGGTAAAATAACATATTTTTACCATTGAAAACTTTGTTCAATCTATAAAATAACGCAAAATACTTCGGATTCGTTGGCCAGACACTATCAGCAACACACGTACTATTGGAGAGAACAAACCAGATTCGAGTGGAAGAGGAAATCAGGAAGAAGCGGTGGAAGTGGATAGGACACACACTTGAGGAAAGCGCCTAACTGCGTCACGAGACAAGCCCTCACATGGAACCCTCAAGGTCAAAGGAAAAGGGGAAGGCCAAAGAACACACTACGCCGAGAAATAGAGAAAGATATGAGAGGGATGAACAAACTTTGGTTGGACAGAACTGGAGAAGGAATCCCAGGACAGAGTTGGTTGGAGAAAACTGCTCGGTGGCCTATGCTCCATTGGGGTTAACAGGCGTAAGTAAGTAAGTAAAAATAACTCAATAAGTTATCGATTACAATTTTATTTAATTAGAAAAATGTAATGAATGCATTTATTATCGAATCGACCGGTTTTTGATTTAACATTGAATAAAGCTGAAAATAAATGTTTTTTGTCAAAAAGAAAACTAGAAAAATAATAATATGTGCGTTAGAATCTTCATATCAATAATATGTAATGTATGATGTTTTCAAATTTCATGGCGAATTTCATGACGGTTGATTAGTTAACATGGCATTTTATTATTCAATCAGTTATTAATTGAATCAAAAGTAAATTCATTACTGTATAAATTTATTCCTTAAAATTTAAATGATTAATTCAATAACATTCGATATGATCAAGACAATCATTAATTTATTATTTTTCATTATGGAGATCGTTGTTTTTTTATTGAAATCGTGAATCGATCATTGTTAGACTACTCTATGAGAAACCTGGAAGCAGTGAAAGGCCGTTTCGTCCTAGTATAGGACTCATCAGTAGAGAGCATCCACAACTCCCACTGTGGTGTGAGCTACTTATAAGTAGTATATGACGTGAGTGTCAACGTAATGTCTGGCAGCAGAAGATGGGGGAAGATCAAGAAAGGAAGAGCGGAAAAACAATGGGATTTGTATGAAACGCATGAATAGTGAAATGTCAGACAATGGATTGATGTTTTGAAACAGGAACAGTCCAGTTCGATAGGATGAACTGATACTTTGCAAATTAACGATTTACGATAAGGTGTTCCGATTTTACTGAGTAACTCTGTAATTTCCGTTAAATACAATTCGTTTGCCCCACCTGTGTTCTCGTTCACTACACCACTACTCGCAGGAATTGAATCCAGGACCTATGATCTTGCTCATATTGTTGATGAGTCCCCTTACCAGGACAGAACAGCTGTCCAGTACTTTCGGGTTTCTAACATTGATCGATTCATAATTTCAAAAGGTAACTAACTAACTCAACCACTCTCCACAATCATTTCATTGCAGATAATGAATGATGTTTTATCTATCTTGTCTTAACATTAAAAAATTAATCGATGACAATAGAACGTATACACTAACTAGACATTAACACCGTTGGATGCCGACCGGCCCAGTGGTCCGATGGTAAGGCGTTCGCCTACAATGCCAAAGGTCCCGGGTTCGAATCCTGCGAGGAACAGGATTCGTGGATGCGCACTGCCACTGATGAGTCCCATACCAGGACGAAACGACCGTCTTTCAGTGCTTCCAGGTTTCTAATGGTGGTCTAACAATGAATGATGATTTCAAATATGTAAAACCGCAAACCTCCAAAACTGTGCCCCAAAATATGAAAGTATAATATAAGTAAGTGTAACATGTCTTATTATTATACACAAAATAATATAAAGATTGTTCAGAGTTAACAATAATTAATTATTAAATAATATAGCTTAACTATTTAATATTCAATTTATTTTTCTTGTTTTTAAAAAAATTTTTAGGCATAAATGTGCCAAAGCTATATATATGAAAGTATATGATTGATGTATGAATGACAGTAGTAATTCATATGATTAGAAGAAATTGATGATAATCTACACACACACTCTCACACACATACATACATACAACTATAAATATCAACAAAAAACTATTCAGCACCACATTGATGGGTACATTATTGACATTATTGAAAATCAAAAAAAAAAATGAAACATTGTAAAAAAAATTAACACATAATACTATTGTGGTGCGCGCTACTTATAAGTAGTATATGACGCGAATGTGTAAACGTAGTATCTGGCAGCAGAAGATGGGGGAAGATCAAGAAAGGAAGAAGAGTGGGAACACAATGGAATTTGTATGAAACGCATGAATAGTGAGTGAAATGTCAGACAATGGATTGATGATGGATTGAAGATTTGTAAATTAACGATTTACGATATGGTTTTCCTATTTTACTGAGTAACTCTGTAATTTTGTCTAAATACAATTCAGTTGTCCTCACCTGTGTTCTCCTTCACTACACTATGAGACTGTACTGAGAGTTTATTAAGACAACTGAAAAACACCATGGATAATTAGAGCTGATCAAATAACTGTTTCATTCTATTAGCATACTATATTAGGGGCATAAATACGACGTTACGAGGCACTGAACCAAGGATCTTCAGTTTTTTTAATCCAGAGCACGTTTTCATCAGACCGCTATTTAACCAAAAATCCGGTGGTCAGTATCATGGACTTCAGTCAGTTCGTTAAATACAGGCAAAACCATCATTTATTGTATGAAAGATCTCCGCATGGATGGTCATGGATGCGCACTGACAAGAAGTTTCATACAACCATGAAATGGCAATCTAGGTTTCCAAATAGTGGTCGTCTCCCTTAGAGATATTTTTTAATTTCACTGATATCTGTGACATGAAAACGGTATTGATCAAACATTTATAAAGCAGGTTTTTTTGAAGATTAGTCAACTTTAGATAGTTTCTCATCATAGATCATTAATAAATCTTTAAAAAAATATAAAATATTTGTTTATTTTTCTAATATAAAAATGAGTTTTTATGCACATCAATGTTTTAAATGGTCTGCTATGTTGTACAAAAGTGCATCTCAAATTGTCAAGTTTAATTATCACTTCTGGAATCGGTATACATTTTATGACTGTGTCTGTGTGTTTAAACTTTATCCATTCGAACTGATAGAAGAGACGAATATAGCAATAGAGATTTCCCTCTTGCTTAAACTCTGATTTTCCGATGTTTCTTTTAATGAAAGCTAACTATTGTAGTAAACAGCTTGTTGCACATTGAAATCATCAATCAATCAATCATTGTTAGACCATCAATAGAAACCTGGACTCCTACACCTCCCATACCGTTGGATGCTAGTTCAGAGGTTAGGCTTTCGCACGCAAGACCGAAGGTTCTAGGTTCGAATCCTGTGGTGTGCAGGAGTCGTGGATGCGCACTGTTGATGAGTGCCATACCAGGACGAAACGGCTGTCCAGTACTTCCAGGTTTCTAATGGTGGTCTAACAATGAT